TATGCTTGTAAGTATAATGTGCACGAGAAAGTTGAGTGTAATAAGTATGGATTTTTAATGTCCAAGTAACAAGTATCAAAATATTGTACCAATCAATTTTTAAATTAAATATAAATACAAGTAAATATCTAGTATATACATATACACGTACTTGCTCCCCTACTAAGGTCTATTATTAAAATAGCCCAGAGTATACATCTTAGCCTCTTGTATCGGTCAAATTTTAACTTAAATATAAATACAAATAAATACCTAACATATACATATACATGTACTTGTTCCCTGCTAAGGTCTATTATTAGAGTAGCCCAAAGTATACATCTTAGCCTCTTGTATCGGTCAATTTTTAAATTAAATATAAATATGAGTAAATACCTAACATATACATATACACGTACCTGTTCCCTACTAAGGTCTATTATTAGAGTAGCCCAGAGTATATGTCTTAGTCTCTTGTATCGGTCAATTTTTAAATTAAATATAAATACAAGTAAATACCTAACATATACATGTACCTGTTCTCTGCTAAGATCTATTATTAAAGTAGCCCAGAGTATACGTCTTAGCCTCTTGTATCGGTCAAATTTTAAATTAAATATAAATACAAATAAATACCTAACATATACATATAAATGTACCTGCTCCTTGCTAAGGTCTATTATTAGAGTAGCCTAGAGTATACGTCTTAGCCTCTTGTACTAGTCAATTTTTAAATTAAATATAAATACAAGTAAATACCTAACATATACATATACACATACTTGCTCCCCTGCTAAGGTCTATTATTAGAGTAGCCTTGAGCATATGTCCTAGCCTCTGGTATCGATCAATTTTTAAATTAAATATAAATGCAAGTAAATACCTAACATATACATATACACATACCTACTCCCCTTATAAGGTCTATTATTAGAGTAGCCCAGAGTATACGTCTTAGCCTCTTATACCGGTCAATTTTTAAATTAAATATAAATACAAGTAAATACCTAACATATACATATACATGTACCCACTTCCCGACTAAGCTCTCCCAGCGCGCATCTACACTCGGATATCTAAAGACTAAAGTAAATTGACCGACCAACGGGTCTCCTAAACCAACCCAATCGCATTCACAGTTGGGTGAATGGGCCCAATCCGTCTAAGTAAACATCCATCCCCATCGCCCAATGCCCATGGAAGTTTGCTCGGTCATCACTCGGAAAAAATAGGGTAGGACACCTATCCAAACAACGTGTGTGGTTATTGTTTTGTTAAAATTATTAAAATTTTGTTTAGGAAATAATGATTTTTTTTAATTAGATTGTTAAAAATAATTCATAATTAATGTTTATTATTTAATAAATTAAAATTAATTTATAAATTAATATTTTCAGATATTATAACTATATGTTTAAAAAAATTATAAATATTAATCAAATTTTAATGGCTTTAATAAAATAATTGATGACCCTAGCCACACTCTTTTTTGAAGAGTTTTTCTTTCTTTTTTCAGTACAAGTCAAGTCTTCTTGTTAAAAGTTTTATATTTAATTTTTTTAAATTTTGAGTTATATAACAAAGATAATTTTTTCATCTTATTACTTATTTTATCTATATATTTACAACTCAAATTTAAAATTTTTTATTTTAATTAAACAAAAGATTACCACTAGGCATGATAACGAGGTCTTGCAAGGTTGTGAGTGCATCTCTATCCCCATCCCCATAAATCGCAAGGATTTTTGATTGGGGATAGAATTTGCCTCCATCACCGTTATCGACAAGAAATGGGTCCCTGTAGGAATTTTTCACCCTACCAATTATATTATAAAATTAATTTAATTATTTTTATTTTATTACTTTAAAAACAAAATATTTTAAATAGTTGAATTTAAATAAAAAAGTGTTGAATTTAGTTTGATTTAAAATAATTAGACTCTAGTATGGAATTAAAATTAAACATGAGTAATTGATATGTTTATGATTATGAATTAAATATTTA